AGATACCTGCTTAATCAAGTTGTAAAATGATAACCTATATTTATTATGAATATTGAATAATATCTGTCAGTTGCCTGATGATCGCGTAAAGCGTGAAACTCAGAGTAGCGACGCAATCATTCAAACCTTGACTGAATTAATTCCGCTCTACTTATTATGGTATTGAGCGCTCTTCTGCCTTACGTCAACTCATCGACTATTTTTTTTAAGTTTTATACATATATATATATATATATATATATATATATATATATATATATATATATATATATATATATATATATATATATATATATATATATATATATATATATATATATATATATATATATAATAGTCTGTGTTAGGTTATAAAAACCAATGATAGAGTGCTCAATGGATAACAAGAGCATAATAGAAAGACACAAAAACTTAGCAAGCTTTGTTTGGCATATTTATTACTATACAGTTTCGTACCACGTAAATAACGTGGCACTCTTCAGATAAAATAGCCTATGTTTGACCTATAGCTTCTAACGAACTTTTTAAATATGTACAGATGGTATAAAGGAAGCTTATCTAATTACAAATCAATTAACACCTCAAGTAGTGTCACGAAAATATTAGTATCAAGTTATAAAGTTTTTAAGTAGAAATTTATTAGCGTGTCTACACGTGGAGACAAGTTCGTTGCGACGATTAAGTGTTGCAATGTCCGGTTTACAAATAATGAAATACTTCTCCCAGATACACAACTTGTGTATTGCCTTACAGTGTTGGACAATCTTCAATGCAACAATCATGTCAATGAAGCGCTTAAAAAGGCTAAAAAAAGATTATTATTTCTCGTTCAATTGAAAGGAGCTAATGTTCCGGCAAAAGATCAATTTCTACACTACATCACTCTAAGTGTGAAGAAAGTCCTGTTCCTCATCCCAGTCACGTACGTTTTCTTGTGACATGTTATGTATATGAGTGTCAGTGTAAACATTTGTGATGAATTTAATAATAATAATAATTATGACACACACGTATTTCATTATATGCTGCCACAATCATTTCTGGAATCCTTAGAACGAGTCGAAAACGACTCCTTTTCTATGATCATCCCAAATGCGTTTATGCACCCTATCTTCCATACGTCAGAACCTTTGCGAAAAGCTATTTAGCTCAGTTATTGCAAACGGTAGTCATAAAACATCAAAACCAATTATATGCACCTAATATACCTTCTGGTTTGGCAGCAACAGCCAATCACTATTTCCTTCTTTTCATCCTTGCAGTCGTGCACTACCGATGTGCAGTTGAGCCAATTATAGCTTACTTAGCTACTGCTGTCTTTTATTTGTTTCCGGTCCGTAATTCCAGTTCTGTATTGTAAGTGGAGTCTTCTGATTGGTTGACGAGAGGTCCGTATCGTGTGTGACGTACTCTCATACGCGTTACGAACCTCTCGCGTTTCGCCCCAAAACACATCGAGAGGTGAAGTCAATTTTAAAGCTTAAAAATTTATCTAAAAGTTTAAAAACGCTCCATGTCCATACTAAAGATAGAAAAATAAGCTGAATTGACTTCATGGATTTAAATTTGAAGGGTTCCCGCCCAACATGCAGTGTGCAGGTAATTTTGGGTTCGACTCAATCACATCTTGTTTTTTTAATTTTTCGATGCTATAGTTGGTGATCGTGTCGTCGCTCGTTGGACAAACAACAAATATTACGCCGGTAATGTTTCATTTATTTCTCGAAAAAATAAATCTATTGGCATCCTGTTTGACGATGGTGATAAGATAACACATCCACTAGCAGACGTTAGCGCTGTCTTTGCCAATAAGGTACCTGTTTCCGTCAAGTATAAGGACCATGTGATTGCTCCATGGAAAGGAAGTTACAAACAGTACATCGGGTTTGTGATAGCAGTGGAAAAGAAACGCTTTTTTAAAGTTCGTTTTGATGACAATTACGAAGCCTGGTACAAGAAAAATAAACTTAGAATCCTTCCAAATCCATCATCTTCCCACCAAGGTTAGTGATTATAGGTGGAAGTTAAAAAATTTTTAGTCGTTGTTTTGTTAGGACTTTGTCTGTTTGTTGGTTTTGGTTGGTTTGTTGTTTGATAATTTGATTTTTTGATTGCATGGTTGGTTGCTTAATTAAAATGCTACTGCAACGAATTTTTGGACCAAGTTTTTTTTAGCATAAATGAAAATCAAATCTTTTAGAAGCATTTTCATATATTAGGCCGTTTGCTGCGTCCTAATATCGTTCACTTTCATTAAGCATGTCTTGGAACTGAAATATTTTTACGGGAACTAACACTTTCTAGCACGCTGAGTTCGAATCCGAAAACTTCCCGCGCCGTAAACCCGCAGTTTTCTCACAAAATGCTATTTTATCTTCGCTAATTTCACAACAATTTTTTTCATTGTTCAACGACACGGATCGATGACGCCACACGATCATATCACTCAAAACGACCAATTTCTATTAACAAGCCTTCCTTTTAACAAAAGACCGGTTTTGCCCGAATTATTTTGAGTTATGTAATCTTATGCGTGTTGCACGTAAACAACATATCTTGTCTACAACTTTGGGAAGGTACAGATAACGCCTTCTAAATTCCTCAGTTCTAGCGATATATCTGCAAAATCACAAGGACGTTAATGCAAAGTCTTCTGGCTATATCACTAGCCTGAAAAATAACTAATTCAACTCGATCAAGATATTTAAAACGAAAGTAATGCGAAGCCAACGTAACGGCAAAGACAACGCTAAAGTGAAATATTGTCGATTGGTTGCTAGTAGAAGAGTTACGACAGGATGAATCTTTAATAACCTTAAACTAGGGGAATAAATGTTCATATCAAAGACAAAGACCAGTGCCAAGGTATAAAATCTGCTCTGTAAACTTACCACGAAGTTGGGAAATGAGTGCATAAGCTGTTTATTTGGTGATTTCAACGTATATGGCAGCCCTCTTTCCAATAATATTCGCTTATCGCAGAGAATAACACCAACTGATATAATAGTTCAAATGCAATGATAAGTTACTTCTTGAATTACATCTCAGAAACTGTGTTGGAAATGGAGGTGCTGACCCATTCCATAAGATTACCGTTTTACATCGTTGTATAAAACATTTTGATTGCATGTAAGGAATTATTTCTCATCTCAGAGATATAGCCCAACGACTTAACATTGACGTCCTTGTGATTTTATCGAGACACAGCCAGAACTGAGGATTTTACAAAGCGATATCGGTACCTTCCCAAAGTTGTAGACAAGATATGTTGTTTACGTCCAACACGCTTAAAATTACATAACTCAAAATAATTCGAGCAAAACCGGTCTTTTGTTCAATGTAGGGACTGGTTCATAGGAATTAGTCATTTTGAGTTATGCAATCGTGTGTCTTCATCCATCCGTGTCGTTGAACAATGAAAAAATTTGTTGTGAAATTAGCGAAGATAAAATAGCAGTTTGTGAGAAAACTGCGGGTCTACGGTGCGGGAAGTTTTCGGATTTGAACTCAGCGTGTTCGAAAGTGTTAGTTCCCATAAAAATATTTCAGTTCCAAGACATGCATAATGAAAATCGTTTTCTAGGCATTTTTCGAGGTCACAGCAAACGGCATATATATATGATCATCATGCGATGCCTAGAAGTTGCCAAATTTGACCTCTGAAGTTGGTTATCGCATGCGAACTTTTTTCGCCGCCATATGGATGCCGTGTGACGTCATAAGATGAACGGAAACGAAGATATGAAGGCCGTACTTGTAGCGCTTCGACATATCGCAGGGGAATTTTTGTCTATTTCACTTGTTTTTGGCGCAGATAACTGATTTTTTAAAAATAGAAGAACAAGTGCTATCTCTTATTGTTTATTTGACGCCCGTATGATGGTTAGCGACTCAAATAATAGGGTCAGTACTGCATCTGAAAGTCAACTTCGAGTATGGACTGGGATAAGTCGGCTTTGACATACGATGATGAACAGTTGCCTAACAGCTTCACTAGACGAAGTGATAGAGGCATGAACGCTGCTGCAGATAGGCAACTACCATCTGTGACTATGTTGGAGCAATCAAGCCATGGTACAACAACTTTAAAATTACTGGTAAGTACAGTAGATAATTTTTTGTGCATGTATATTATTGTATTGTGCTCGCCTCGGTATTGTGTGTAACTTTATTTTTATTATAAACAGGATTGTGCGTGACAAAAAAATAATAAGCTTTATAAACACAAGCATATATTCATAGCCTATTCGCAATACTGAACTGATTGTGATTTTGTTTTTAATAGATAGGTGTAGTTGGCAATTATGGGCTGCGGTTCTATTGATGGCTAGTTTTACTTGGATGGGAAAACAGAAGAAAATAATTTCCTACAACAAAGACACAGCCTTAAGGCCCATTTCCACTCAAGAAAAATTTCCAGGGACAGAAAATTTTCCGAAAATATCATTGTTAAAAATAAATTAAGTTGAAAATTTTCAACTTCAAAATTTTTTTCCGACGGAAAATTTGTGTCGCCCAATCAAATTTTACAAAATTTTCTTTCTGCAGAAAATTTTTCTGAGTGGAAATGGGCTTTTACGTTTAAGCAGAAAAGCTGTCGATCGACTTTAATGACTTTAGTTGGATAAGGCAGATTGTGACTGAGTGCATACTGAGTCAGTTTACCATTGAGTCAAAATTAAGCCACTATGCAATATCACATTTACACATTTTACTGTAATATTTTGAAATTATATTAATCTTCAATGTAACCAGTTAAGTTGCATCCCTCATGTTTTGTGCACAAATATGTTCCTCACATAACAGCATACCAGTACAATATTATCCCCGAGCCAACGGCGCGCATCGCCGTTCCGGGCGTAAGCCCGGGGCGAGGGTACTAATTCCCCCCGGCTATTTACACCCGGGGAAACGAAAGCATTAGCGAAGTCTAAAGTTCATCAATGATCGCGGGCGTGACCAACGATCTTGAGTGGGTGGTAATCCTCACTGATCTCAAAAATAAGGCTGTTTGTCAGGATTGGGATAAGCAAGATTTCAATTTTCAAAAGCATATATTTCGAAAATCACGTTTCACACAATGAGCTTTGAAGCAAATTTTGTTTGAAGAAATGAGAAGAATTGATTTACTGTGGGAAATCGTGAAATATAGGGCAAGTTTGCTTTGAATGTTTATGTTTATGAATTTTGTTGCTTTAATTTATTGCGTAAAACATGTACTGCTTTCCTTTTCAATGAAGCTGTATTAAAGTTTGCTAAATTACCTTGTTTAATTTAAGAAAAAAGATAAAATGTAAAGGAGAGCAAATTAATTTGAAAACCGAACTAAAACTCAACAATTTGAATTCGTTTTATTAAGTAAGAACAGTTTATCGGAAAGAGCAGTTTATAGTTATTAAACTGAACATTTCAAAACATTTTACGAAGCGATTCAGGTTAAATATTACATTAAATCAAAGCTCACAAAATGTAGAACAACATACCTACAGTACATATGTCGGAAATTGATTATTATAGAGCTAAAGGCAATAATCTTTCAACTATTTTTGGCGTGTTGTACAGAAAATATAATTCAAATTAAAATTATCGTGTTGCCATGGCGACACTGCCGTAAACGCGAGCCTGCGTTCGGTGTTGATCAATTAGTAATACTTCATGCTAAATCATTGTTTGGAAAATACAGGCGAAGGGTTCCTCCATGCATCTATTTCTAGTACTATTGTATTATTATATCTTTTGTTACTGCATACTATCATGCAATATGTATTATTAATATAACTGAATATACAACTCCAATGGCATCGTTTCTTTCAATCTCTTGCCGATTTCAATAAAACTGTCATGAGAAGTCTTTCAAGACGAAACTAGGTCAAAGAATGCTGAATTGTTGTCTTTAATTCCATCTTAAGATGCTCTGGACAAGAAACTAACTTAACAGGAGATAGTCTTTTTACAAGCACAAATAATCTAAAACATAAGAAATGTGAAACACTTTAGACTAACTATATATAAGCGCAGTGGCAAAGACAGCCAAAAATTCTTGGTCATGCTTCGAGCGGCGGAGGCGCGAGCCTTTCTAGGGGGGTGTGGGGGCATGCCCCCCGGAAATTTTTCAAAATTAGAACTCCGGAAATGCCATTTCCTGCGATTTGAGCATTGAATTCTAAGCTCCAATATGACCTTAAGAAGGGGCAATACTTCGCAAATTTACCGTATTTTAGCCAAAAATGACAATTTGATCATCAATTTGAGGAAGCATTACAGAATGGTAAACTAGGGATCCAAGGATAGTGTAAAGTTTCAAATTGAAAAAGACACTGCAAGAACTATATGGGGTCTCACACAACCTACAATCCTGGTCAAATATCCTAGGCGCACTTAGTCTAAATAGCATAACCTTTACTTCATTTCTGATTACCATATAAATACTTGCTCAATTGATGCAAAATTTCATGTCCAAACACCCCCTATCCCCCTTATCAATGTTGTGTAACACCTTGGACGTATAACACACTACAGACAACATTGAACGGGGGAAAGGGGGGTTGCTATCCTTGTTATTGAAGTGGGAGTCAAATTTCGCACAGTTCGTGTCAAGTGCGCCAATATTTTTGACCAGGATTGTCCGAATATAAAAATGAAACTAAAATTTATGTACATATATAATTTTGACTCAGAATGCACGGAAGCATTATTTACGTGTTTTCCACGTATATTGGGAGGCGTGTTCTAGATGATTTCGTTGGGAGTTATTGAAAACCTAGCGTGCACGTCCGTAATGTTGATAATTATGACGTCATATGTAGGGGGTGTTACTATGAATCATGATAATCCTGTACGCGTATATTAAGTGAGGCTGGCTAGAAAATAAAATTGAATAATATGCATTTCGATAATTAGATTCATTTAAGGATGATTTACACAAGAAAAATCACAGCAAAGACAAGGGCTTTGGTACTTTATTATAGAAAGGAATCAGGTTTTTCGAATAGGGAGAGCGAGAGAAAA